GGCCGAGAGGGTTCTATGGGGTTTCTATGGGCTGAGGGGTCCCTATGGGGTTTCTATGGGGCTGAGGATCTCTATGGGGTTCCTATGGGGCTGAGAGTATCCCTATAGGGTTTCTATGGGGCTGAGGGGCCCTATGGGGTTTCTATGGGGCTGAGGGGTTTCTATGGGGCTGAGAGTGTCCCTATAGGGTTTCTATGGGGCTGAGGAAGTTCTATGGGGTCTCTATGGGGTTTCTATGGGGCTGAGGGTCCCTATGAGTCTGTGGGGTCCCTATGGGGTTTTTATGGGGCTGAAGGTGGGGGGGGGGCGGCTCATCGTGGTCCCCAGAGCCACCGGAAGTCCCTTCAGCCCCACACCGGAAGTCCCTCCCCTCTCACCTTGGTGGACGCCGATGTCATGGCGGCGGGCCCCGCCGTTGTTCCACCGCCGCCGCTTCCGCCTTCCGCGCGCCGCCGCCGCCTTTCCGCGTCCGCCTCAATGGTGGCGGCGGCGCGGGGCGCTCAGCCCGTTTCTCCCGGTGGCGGCCGCGCCCACTTCCGGTTTTCTCCTTTCCGTTTCCGGTATCTCTCTTTCTCTCTCACGGTCTTTTCTCTTTGTTACTTCCGGTCTTCTTGCCTTACTTCCGGCTTATCGCAAGCTACTTCCGGTGGGGAGAGAGCTCCCGCCGCTCTAGCAGCCGCGCGACTCTATGGTTTTACCCCCCCCATCTCCGGCTTATCGCAAGCTATTTCCGGTGGGAAGAGCGGTCCTACCGCTCTAGCCACGCGACTCTATGGTTTTCCTCCTCGAAATCGTAAAAATAAAAAGAGCCTCAAAAAAGCCCCGGATGTCCCAAAAATGGCACCAAAATCGGTTTGTTAATAGAGAATAATGTTTTTTATTCGGATCCGTGGGTTGGAACGTTGTAGTTAAGAGAGAAACCAAACCAGTCAGTCCTCCAAGCATCACCTCCGGGTCCTCCAACCACCACCAACAGGATCAGAGTTGGGATATGGGGGGAATGGGGGGCTTTGGGGGGGGTCTCCATGGTGACAGACCCACAGAACTGCATACAGGAGTAGAACACAACATAATTTATTACAGTGTGTGGGTTGGAACGGTGTAGGTAAGAGAGAAACCAAACCAGTCGGTCCTCCAAGCACCACCACCGGGTCCTCCAACCACCACCAACAGGATCAGAAGTGGGATATGGGGGGCAAATGGGGGGCTTTGGGGGGGGTCTCCATGGTGACAGACCCACAGAACTCCATATAGAATAGAACACAACATCATTTATTACACTGCGTGCGTTGGAACGTTGTAGGTAAGGGAGAAACAAAACCAGTCAGTCCTCCAAGCATCACCTCCAGGTCCTCCAACCACCACCAATGGGATCAGAAGTGGGATATGGAGGGGAATGGGGGTTTTTTGGGGGGTCTCCATGGTGACAGACCCACAGAACTCCATATAGAATAGAACACAACATCATTTATTACACTGCGTGGGTTGCAACATTGTAGGTAAGAGAGAAACGAAACCAGTCGGTCCTCCAAGCATCACCTCTGGGTCCTCCAACCACCACCAACGGGATCAGAAGTGGGATATGGAGGGGAAATGGGGGTTTTGGGAGGAAACTGGGGTCTTTTTGGGGTCGGTTGCCATGACGACTAGCGGACGAGGTACTCCTTCCTCTTATTGAGTCGTGCCTGACACAAAGCAAAGCCTCCCAACAACAGGTAGAGCCCAGCAGCCACGAAACAATTGGTGCCCACGCGTTCGTACAGCCCATAAATTCGCTCCGGACCGCTGGGATGGATGGAAAGAAAGGTGTTAGAAATCGAGGTTGCGGTGTTGGGACGTTGTTGTGGTGTTGTGTTGTTGTGGTGTCGTCATTGTGGCGTTGTGTCGTCACATGTTGTTGTGGTGTTGTGTTGTGGTGTCGTTGTTGTGTCATTGTGTTGTTGTGTCGTCACATGTTGTTGTGGTGTTGTGTTGTGGTGTTGTTGTTGTGTCATTGTGTTGTTGTGTCGTCACATGTTGTTGTGGTGTTGTGTTGTGGTGGTGTTGTTGTGTCATTGTGTTGTTGTGTTGTGTCGTTGTTGTGTTGTGTTGTTGTGTTGTTCTGGTGTCGTCGTTGTGGCGTTGTGTCGTCACATGTTGTTGTGGTGTTGTGTTGTGGTGTTGTTGTGTCATTATGTCGTTGTGTTGTGTCGTTGTTGTGTTGTGTTTTGGTGGTGGTGTGTCATTGTGTTGTGTCGTGTCGTTGTGTTGTTGTGATGTCGTCGTTGTGGCGTTGTGTCGTCACATGTTGTTGTGGTGTTGTGTTGTGGTGTCGTGTCGTTGTGTCATTATGTCATTGTGTTGTTGTGGTGTCGCGTTGTTCTGTCATTGTGTTGTTGTGTCATTGTTGTTTCGTGTTGCTGTGTCGTGTTGTTGTGTGTCATTCTGTTGTGGTGTTGTGTCATTGTGGCGTCGTTGTGGTGTCGTTGCGTTGTGTTGTTCTTCAGTTGTCGTGATGTTGTTGTGGTGTTGTGTCATTGTGTTATGATATTGTGGTGGTGCGTTGTGGTGTTGTGTCGTTGTGTCGTTGTGTCATGATGCTGTTGTGGTGTTGTGTCCTGTTGTCATTGTGTTGGTGTGTTGTGGTCTTGTGTCATTGTGTCATGGTGTTGTTGTGATGTTGTGTCGTTGTGTCGTCGTGTCGTTGTGTCATGGTGTTGTGGTGTTGTGTCGTGTTGTTGTTGTGGTGGTGCGTTGTGGTGTTGTGTCGTTGTGTCATGGTGTTGTTGTGGCGTTGTGTTGTTGTGTCATGATACTGTTGTGGTGGTGTGTCGCTGTGTCATGGTGCTGTGGTGTTGTGTCGTTGTGTCATTGTGTCATGATGCTGTTGTGGTGTTGTGTTGTGTCATGATGTTGTGGTGGTGTGTTGTGGAGTTGTGTCGTTGTGTCATGATGTTGTGGTGTTGTGTCGTGCTCTTGTGTTGGTGCGTTGTGGTGTTGTGTCG